GAGCGTGGTCACGGTCCAGGGTCAGCTCTGAGCAGCAGTCTACCATATGCTTTTCTGGCAGCCAGAGCACCAGGGCCATTGATGAGTGGACCAGAGATGCTGCAAGAGACCTGGGGCGGCCCAGCAATCACTGAGCACTTGAACCTGAGGTGCAAGTATCCTCACTATATAGAGGAGGGAACATGGGCACAAGGGGTTAAGTGACATGACTAGGTCTTAGAGACTGTCATTGAGAAAGTGGGATTCTTTACTCTTTTAAAAAAATTATTAACTAGATTTTTAAGTTGAAAAAGCAATTCAACCTCTTAGTTTAAATTGCAAACAGTAGAGAATACTTTAGAATGAAAAGCAAGTTTTCCTCCTACTCCTGATTGCAATTGTAGAACCCCCTCTCCAGGGGGCAGCTGCCACAAGAATTTCTGTTCTCTGCTCCTCACAGAGCCTGGTGCCAGTCTTTCCCTAAGCCAATGGCCATCAGTGCTGATGGAACTGGACACAGCACAGAGGTGGAATGGACCACACATGTGCTCCTAGACCGTTCCCAGAGCTTGTGCTGAGTGTGGGTGATACCAGTGGAATAAGGCCATCGCTTTGCATTTTGAAGGGGATACCACTTACTTTGTTATGGACCTTTATTAATATCTAGCTTTCCTGTTTTCCTTAATACCCCCCTCCTCGCCCACCCCTTGGAGTGCGGGGGGTAGTCTGGGGCTTCCCTGAGAGGAATGCATACACCTCACCTGCTCTGGCCAGGACTGAAAAAGCAAAAAGGAGAAAAAAAACGCAGGGTCTTACTTTCTGATGATGGTGACTGAGACACTGGCAGGATGATGTACATGTGAAGTGACCGAAGACAGGACAGATATGGTGAGGTCTCCATGTTGGTGTGATGGGGCCTGGCCAAGAGCCAGGGGTTCGGTATGTTCTATGTTTGTGACCCAGCAGCCCTAAGGTCAGGACTTGCATTTTCATTGCTAACATCAGTTAGAGCATTTCCCCCTCCAACTTTGACCTCAGTGGAGCTGGAGATTTTCTGTGTACCATCATGCATCAGTCTTCAGCAACCCATCTCTGGCTTCAAATGGTTGAATTCTGAGTGCATCTCCCCTCCCTCATCACACCACATTCTGTTCTCCAGGTTGCATAGCTCAGCATTTTTCAAATCTCTCAATGGAAGGTTGCAGTGCACACAACCTCACTCCAAGGCAGGACAGGCTTCTCCAGGAAAGTGCCTCTCCTCCCAAACACTGCATGGACCCTCCAGTCTTTCTCCCCTGCTCATTCTGTTTCTCTGCAACGCTCCTGCGAGGTCTTTCTGCTCTAAATTTGTTACAATGGCTCCAGCACTGGGCTGTTTTATTTCAAGGCCTCTGCTCATCTGGTTTGGCTCCCCAGAGGGCTCAAACTGATGGCCTCCCATAAGTGCCAGGGACAATTTTCACCATCCGGATCCAGTCTTGCCCTTCATGTTTGACCCTGTGATCCTCTTCCTACTTCCCATGGCTCTCTGGGACCGATGATTAACTCCATCTTACCTCTAACCACCTCTTGCAACAGAAAGGAGATATAGATGCTGCAGCCTCCTTACCTTGTCTATGAAGGATGCTGGGTCTAGTATGAGGTTGATGGAGGTAATCAGCTGTAGACATAGAGCCTTATCCTGGACCTAGGGGAAGAGAGAGAGAGAGTGAGGGGATGGAGACTGGTCAAAAACACGAGAGATACACAGAGAAGATGCTCTTAGCTTTCCAGCCTCACGGAGTCCCTGCCACTTCCAAAACTCAATCATCCTGAATCCCACCTCTGGGTCTTCTGGGTCTTCACATCTTTTCTTCTGTCTGGGATATCCTCTCTGCACACCCTGGCTCCTTCAAATAACTTGGCCAACTCAAGTCGAACATTTTTCTTTTCATCTTCAGAGCCACCTTCCCTTACCATTTCATGAGATCCCACTGCTACACACTCTATATAACATCCTGTACTTTTCCTTCACCATTTGTAATTATGGCATCAGCTACTTGGAAATGGGATTAATATCTTCTCCCTCGACTATAAGCTCCACAAGGGCAAGAGCTGTATATGTTCAGTAAAAATGTTTGTTGAATAAAGGATAAATCATGTATATATTTATGTGCTTTGTCCATCTAGCTTAAAAGAAAAATACTTCACTCCTCTGCAAAGTAATGCTTACCCATTGTCTCATTTGATCCCCTTGGCATCCTGTAAGGTAGACAGTGAGGTGTCATTTCCTCATTTTACAAAAGAGGAAATGGAACCCACCAGAGGTTAAGAAACGGGCCCAAGGTCACACAGCTCTCCACCTCCAATCTGATTTTTCTCCTATGCCAGGCCGAGTCTGGGTGAGGAAGGAGGACTGACTTCTTCAGGGAAAGCTTCTGGGATGGGTCACTTGGAGCAGCATTTGGAAGTGAAAAGGCTGTGGATTAATATTAGCAAAAGGTGTGGAGGCCATCATATGGAGAGAAGATGTGGATGCAGGCCAGCGTCTGTGTGAAAGGGCTGAGGGAGGCTGGAGTGGGGATGGATAGGAAAACAAGGACGCTCAGGGTTACTGAATGCATTACACCCACAACCTCTGGCAGCAGATCCTCCAGGCAGGCGTTGTCACCCACAATTAGTTCTAGATTGAAGCTCTTGGAGGTTAGGTAACCAGCTTAAGGACACATGGTGGCAGCTGGGATTGGAAGCCATGGACATCTGCTCTGGCCCCTGGTGAGGAAGATTGTTTAGAGGTGGGTTGAGGGCTTCAGTCTGAAATCTACCGGGGAGGTGGCTTAGAGAGGGAAAAAGACTGGGGATTCCTTATGTCCTGCTCATTGGTACCCACGATTGGGAGCAGCTATCCCACGTCCTGAGTGCCAGCAGATACCTGTGGTTGCTGTGTTCCCTGAATATCTTCCTCTAAAGTCAGGCTAGGCTGAGCCAGCCACTGCTCTTCAGTTTATCCTGGACCATTGGAGCTGTTCCAGCCCTCAGGCCAATGCCAAGCACCCGGCTAACCTTCCATGTTGTAACTCATCACAAATTCCTGGAAGCATCTCCTGGTGGTAAATTGTACAGGTTGAGGACACCTGGACTGATCATTTTGCCAAAGGACACCCTGGCTTCATTCTTCTGTTGTTGCCCCACTCCCAGTTTGGCAAAATGTGCAGATGAGCCCTAGACCTTGTATTTTACTTTCTTCTTTTTCAACATTGTGATAATTATTATAATCACATTCCAACATTCCTTCAAGTGCCAGCTAAGTGCCAGGTTCTGGGGTATGTGGAGAGAGCCAGTGTACAGAGTATTAGGTGAGAGTGGGCCCTGGAACTGACGGCCGGGTCCCTCCAGGGACCAGCTGAGTGACCTTGACAAGTCTCCCTCAACCTCCCCGCCTCTGGGGTCCACATCTGCAGGAGGGAGAGTGAGTCTCTGCCTCATCGGGTTCATCAGAGGAGCAATGAGTCTGAAATAGTACTTTGCACATAGTAAGTAAATATGCAATAAATATTTGTTATTATAGTACAGTTCCTAGAATTTAAGAATTTCAGAGCTTAAAAGAACCTTAGTGATCACCTAGTTTACCTCCCCCATTTTACAGATGAAGGTGAAGCTCAGAAAGGTGACTCCCAGAGCTAGTGAACACCCAGGCCTCTGCCTCCCAGGACAGGGCCCACATCCTGGCATTGCACTGCATGTTGCCAGGGAGACACTTACATGTGCTTCCCAACTCTATTAGGTCACAAAGGCTGATTCTCTTTCAAGGAGGCCACAGGGCCTAGGGCCCTGTCCAACTGTGTCCTCAGTTGCATGGTGGCCTCACTCTACTGCCTGGCCACCCACCATCCTGCATACTCCATGCAAGCTGTGGCTTCTGCTAGGAGTTTCTCCCAGCTAGGAGTCAGAGCAGCAAAGGTGCCCACGTCCATTTGTCTTGAGAGCCTGGAGCATCATGAGGAGTAATCAAGATCTTGTTGCCCACAACCGAGAGAAAACCTGTAATCTGGCTGCCCCTCTGATTTCCTCTGTCCCCCGTGCCACCAAACACCATGTGGTGGCTGTCAGTCTCCCCTCAAACACACCCTGAAAAATTATGATTAATGGTGTAATAGCCCTATGAAGATGAGACAGAGACCAGTGGAAGGACTGTTGGCAAGTCAGGAGAGGAGAAGCCATTTAGCACAACTGGGCTAGGGAGTTCAGGTGTGCTCATTGCCTGAACAGTGTGAGCTATTGGCAGGTGGTACCTGTCTGTGCGTGTCATGCAGTGCTGGTTGGAATCACCAAACAGTAATTGAGTCTCTGCTCAGTATAGGCACCCTGGATAGGCTCTCATATAGCAAGTGTGTTAGGAAGACATGTGCCTAAAAGAGGTGTTTCCCTGCCCCCCAGGAGCTTTCAGTCTGATTGTAGAGAGAGGGCATATGTAAGTGCAAAGTTAAATAACTATTCATTCACTCATGTACACATTCAGTGATGCTTATTGATAATGCATTGCACCAGGCACTATTCCAGGTGCTACAGGTAGAGCAGTGAATAAGAGGAAGAAGGCTCTGCCTTGTGGAGCATGTATTCAAAATACCAGCACAGAAGAGGGGCCAAGGGCACTTAGAGACATTAGAGGGCCTTCTAACTTGAGGAAGCTGACCAGTCTTCAAATTTTGAAAAAATGGAAATTAGCTTCCCCTTCTGGAAGAAGTGGAGATATCTGATTTTTGGTGTGTGTTTGAGACCTCTTGGGCAAGTAAATGGTAAGCACTCTGGTCTCCGCCAGTGTGGCTCTCGAGGGCTTGCGTGGCAGTGTGTGATCAGACATCGCCACCGCTGCAGACGGAGAGCTGGGGTCGGAGAGGAGAGCTCAGACCGTGGGAAATGGGACCTGGATTTTAAATTCATGTGGCCAGGGACTCTGAATGTAAGTCATGAGTAAATACTTCATGCTGACAGAGCCTTTTACACACATATTATCTGATTGGATTTTTTCATTATTTCAACAGATATTTTTTGAGTGCCTACTATGTGCCAGCCTGTGCTAGGAACTGGAAACACAGGTGGAAAACTCCGACATGTTCCCTGCTCTCCTGGTGCTCATCACTGCATGAGGTAGGCATTGTATTCCCATGTCGTCAATGAGGAAATGGGCTCCAAGATGCTCAAGAGTATTCCCTTAATAAGATCCACAGCCAGACCCAGCCTGGTTCTTGTTCCTGTTGGGCCCTAACTCTGCTCTCATTACAATAGGCGTGGCTATCCTGCTGTGTCAAAATAGTGTCCTCAGCTGCACAGGAATGTTCTGTTTTTAGACTTTCCACCTTCTGAGTTACCTAAAGTACAGGGAGGGAGGGAGGAGTTTGCCCTTGATCCCTGATGCAATGGAGAGCTACCCAACACTTTGGGGCTGGGGTGTGTCATTATCAAGTTTACATTTTGGTAAGCACCCTGGCTGCTGTGAGGAGAGCTCCTGGAGAGAGAAAAAGCAGAGGGAGGGAGACCAAGAAGGCTGCTATTGCAGAGGTCTGGGTTATTGCTGACAGATGCCTGGATTGGAGAGGCTCAGTGGCAGTGGGGAGAAGGTTATGGTGTTCACGAGGCAGAGCTATCAGGACCTGGTGATTGATAAGATGGGCTGTGGGGAAGGAGAAATCTAGGGTAACTTTCAACTTTCTGGCTTGGGTGCCTGGTTGACTGTCATGCTAAGGAGAATGTAGGAGGAGAAGCAGCTGGTGGGAGAGGGGGAGAGGATACCTTCCCTTTACATGAGGATTGTTGGAAGTGCTGTGGGACATCCAGGTGGAGATTTAAGGAGGCAGCTAAATGCAAGTGTTCTGGGCTGGAGATGCCAGTTTAGAAGCCACATCATGCAGATGGTGATAAACCATGGGGAAGGTAAAGTTCCCAGAGAAGATAACATTAGCGGGAAGAGGATGATTATTTTTATCAAAATACTTTCAGTTAACAAAGGCTACACTGTTAGGTTTTAAGGCTAGATTCATCTAAACGTTAACGTAAAAATAGACTTCAATTTTGTGTTTTTTGATAAAGAATCTGAGAGCGTCATCTTTCTGCTCTTGAGCCTTATAAGCATGTAATGTGATGGTTCTTTTTATTTCTGAAACATCGAGTGGGTGTGAGGAGGTGAGATGTCATTAAATAAAGGCTTAGGAGGAGATTATTCCTCGTCATTGTGCCCTGGGTCACACAGCAAAGGCCCAAGAGCAGGCCTGGACCCCAGCCATTGATGTCCTTACATGTGCTCTCCAAGATCAGCCAGGCTTTAAGGCCATGAATGACACAAGTCAGGCCTGAAGGAAGTGAGTAGTTCTGTCATCAAATAAAATCTACGCACACTAATCTGACACCTCTTTAGCAATCTGCATAATTACTATGCAGCATACTGATCAGGGGTAAATGGAAGGCATTCAACACAAATGATTATATTTAATATTACTTTTATATAGCCTGACCAGATTTTCACAGTTCTTTCCTCTTTGACGGTTTATTCATTTATCCACTCTACAATTATTTATTGAGACTATAATATATGCCAGGCACTCTTCTGGGACCTGAGGAGACACAAATACAATTTCTACTCCCTGCCCCTCCTCTGTCAAGCTTGCATTCTGGTGTATAGACAGACAATCACTGAACAATCGATTTCATCCACACAAGGATGTGAAGCTTCCCTTGCCCCATTTGCTGTCATATGTCCCAGCACCAGCACCATGAACTGAGGGACAGAGGTTCTAGGCCTGACTTGCCAACAACATAGTTGTCTTTGCCCTTTATTTTCCTGTCTCCCTACAGGAGACAATTGCTTGGGGCCTTCTACTCATTGAACAACTATGTACTGTGCACCTATTTTGTATAAGTAGACTCTGAGGATACAACAGTAAACTAGAAACAGTCCACATGCATCCCAGGTATAGACATGTAAACGCAGCAGCCACAGAGGGAAGAGTCCTGGTGTCAGAGCCACTCCAGGCTGCTGTGATGGCACATAGAGAGCACTTGACTGGCAAATGGCAGAGGTTAGAGAGAGGAGCATCCTTCAGGCAGAGGGAACAGCATGCACAGGAAACCACAAGCTGCTGGGTGTGGCTGGAACATTGAGTGTGTGGGGAGGTGGAGGATGTCATTAAACTAAACTTTTACTAAAGTATAACACACATACAGGAGAATGAACATTATCATAAGGATGTGGCTCAGTGAGTTTTCACAAAGTGAACACACACAGAGCAGGAAACAGAACATCACACAAAGAAGACCCCAAATGTCCCCTTCTAGTCACACCATCCCCAAGGGTAGCTACTAATAGCACAGAAGAGTTTTCTGTCTGTTTTTGTATTATGTATAGGTAGAGTCTTACTGTACATACTCTTTTGTGCCTGGTTTCTTTCTCTCAATATAATGTTTGTGACATTCATCATTACTCATTTTCATTTCCATACAACATTCTGTTGTGTGTACATACACTACATTTCTCCATTTTGCTGCTAGACATCTGGGTAGTTTCCAGTTTGGGGGAACCCTGAGAGTGCCGCTGTGGACATTCTAGGCGTCCTCGGTGAGCACGTACATATGTTTCTATTGCATGTGTGCTTCAGTGTGGAGCTGCTGGGTCATTAGGGTACGTGTGAAGCTCTAGTAGACCAGTTTTCAAAAACAGTTCTATCCATGGACACTCCACTGACACTATACAAGAGTTCCAGTTGCTCCACATCCTTGCCAACACTTGTCATTGTATTTTGTTAAAAAGTCATTCTGGTGTATGTATACTGGCATCTTATTGTGGTTTAAAAATGCATTTTCCTGAAGCCCAATGAAGCCAAGTGCCTTTCTTAAATGATTCTAGGCCTTTGGATATAGTGGTTAGTGAAGTCTCTGTTCTAGTCTTTTGCCCATGTTTCTATTGGATTGTCTGCATAGGGGGTGGGAGGAGGAATTGTTTTAATACTGCTTTCCTTAACCAAGGGTGACCCAGAAAGCATATCCAGGTGCTCACCAGCCCCACCCTCACCCCATGATGGGCATAGCTGGCAGACTACAGACTCTGGAGGCAGGGTGTTGGAAAGGTCTCAGTGAGGGGACAGCCCACGCTGCCATCAGGGGATGCAGCCCCTTTGAGCTTCTGAGGTCCAGCTGCCCTGGGAAAGAGAGGAGTTTAGGAAGAAGGATGAGGAGAGGTTGATGGAGGAAGGATGGAGTGGGTTAGTTTTCAGCAGGTAGCAGGAGCAGGTGTGGAAACCAGCTCTTCTACAGGTCTGAACTGGGGAGGAACTGACATCTGAATAGTCCCTCCTTTAGGCAGGCCCTGAGCACGGCAGCTTCTTCTATATTGTCTTAGTCCTCAATTTAGCTTCACCAGACAAGTAGTGTTGTGTCTCTTTTACCTGTGAGGAAACTGAGTTGAGTGACCAAGAAAAGTCCTCATGAAGGCCACCAGTTGGTACTTGGAGGACTGGACTGAAACCCAGCCCTTCCCCACACCACTGCCCAGGAGCAGTGTGTGCACTGTGTCTTGGGCATTGGCATAACCCTCCAACCATGTCCCTTGCTGCTGCTTCATGGCTCCTGTTCCTTAAGAGCAGATGAAGGTCTTCCTCCCCAATTTGAGATTTTTAAAAAGTGGCGTCCTGTGAATCATTCAGCCACAATAACCGCCTGCCACTGTTTTGATGAGGAATGAGTTAGAACCTGAGCTTGAGCATAGAGAGGAAGGACAGAGGCCTGGAACTCTACATGAGCACTGATAGCCAGGGCTCTGGGGGTGGGGAGGGGAAGGTATCTGGGGTCAGTGGGCTGAATAGGTCGCTTCCTAACAGGGACATAGGTCTCACGTGCTCCCACCACTCTCTTGCAGAGTTATGTCATGCCCAGACCAGCAGGGAGCTCCATGAGGATTTATAGAAGATGCCCCAAGTCTCTGCGCCTTTGGTGCTGCTTCCTGTATGGCTTGTGATGGTGGCTTGCAGTCCCCACTCCCTGAGGATTGGTAAGTGCTGCTCAGATGGCACCCCAGGGGCATCCTGGCCATGGGTGATGCTCCCTCTCATTACCCCAGGTGTCCACAGGAGACATATGACCCTGTACTATGTCACCTGGAGTTTGTCTGGGCCTGGGTGCTGGGGATGGTGCAGTTGACAGGCTCACAGCTCTAATCTGGCCAGCCTGCCCAGCTCCACTATGATGAAAATAAAGATGCTGCTAAGTCTCCATTACAGCTTGTGACCCACTGCGTAGCACATGAAAAGGTCCACTGTTAGGTGAGGAAGGAGGGTTGGAATGGCCCTGGGATTCCAAATGCAGGGCTGGAGATCAGAGAAGAGAGGTGACCTTTTCTCTGATCCATTGAAGAATGCTTCCTAAGGGTGTGCTTGGGATGAAGCCAGGGAGTCCTTTGGGTGACCCTGGCCCACTGTGCTGTAGGGCCCTTGACTTAGCATCTGCTTTCCATGGCCTGGTTCTGAAGGGGTGAGCAGGGTCACTCCAGTGATGTGTATCCCTGTGCTCTCTTCCTTGGCCTGTTTGCTGTGGGACAATGCTGCCACCTGCCTCGTCAGCGCTCGCATCCCTGGAGGGAGGCTTAGCCCCACCTGGAGTCCAGGAGTACCTGGGAAATCAAGTGCTTCTTCCCCCCAGAACTGAGCAAGGCTTGTAACTGCAGGCGGAGGCACTATTGATCTGGGTCCTGAAGACACAGTTCCATCCACAGGGACAGGGGAAAAGGGGATTTGTGTGGGTACATCAGTGGGGCACAGCAGTGGGTCATCTAGGCAGGTGGATTGTTGGTCACATGAAGGCCTCTCCAGCAGCAGGACCCCATGGGCAAGGCTAGGGAAAAGCCCCAGGGGAGCTCAAACACCAAGTAGGTAATCCAGAGAGATATCCATCTGAGGAAGGCAGGAAGTAAATACTATAAGCAAGGCAGGATCCTGGATTCTAAACTTCATCTTGAAAGGGTTAGAGTCTGATTCAGAATGAAGATGTCATGACCCTGAGTCCCAGAGAATTGGCTTGAAGCTCCCAAACACCTCCAATTATGATCACGACTGTCCTGAAACCCTGGAAGTGGGAATAGGGGTAGGAAGCCGAGGCTGGGCAGAGGAAGCCAAGAGCTGAGACTCTGGCTCAGGCAGGCCGCGTGGCCAGAGGCCCAGCTGCAGGCCTTGGGCTGCTCCATGTCACCTTGCGGCATACTGCTCCACAGGTACCCAGCAGCAGTGGGTGGGAATCAGAACTGGGGCAGACAACTCCGTCTTCCTCCTCACTCCACCCTGGGTTCACCACTCTGCATCTTTAAAAAAAAAGGAACTGTAAACAAAATCTTCCCTCCCTCTTCTCCATTCATTTCCACTGAAACTCCAAAACCTAATTTAATTATGCTTAGCAGCAATGCGAAATGGTTCATATCCTTAAGATGCTTAATTTATAAGATGCCTACAGTTATCAGCATTTACTGTGGGGTTTTCTCCCCTTCTAAATGAGCTTGAGCAGATAAAGTGGTAGCCCATCAATTTCCATTTGTCGCCAATGGGTAGCAGAAATGGATTGAGCCAGAACTGGCTGTGCCTCAGGGCCTGGCTCTCCTGACACCTGCTCTCCTGGAGGGGAGCAGAAAGTGGAGCTGACAGGCCCCTTTCTTGCCTGCCACACCAACAGAGGGCTTCAAAGGGATCCCTCATGCTCTCAAACCCACACTTGGAGCATTGCTTGTCCAGTTCTGTCAAGACTCTGCTGACCTCAGTTTTGGTTCATGCTAGGCCACTTCCAAATGATTTCTAGGCAGGAGCCCCACTGCCTGGCAAGGTCAAACCAGGCCTAATTTTCTGCAGAGGCCAGGAAGCAGAATTAAGCCAACAAAGAGAAAGGAAAGAAAACCTGAAATAGCAATGTCAGGACTGATTTTTCTGTCTCCTTGATTATTCTGGGAGCTGGGAGCTTTCTAAACTCTCCCAGTGTTTATGGATGGAAAGGGGGTGACCATAGGGACTCAGAGAAGATCTGCAGTAGGGCAGGGACAGGAAGAGAAGTAGGCCAAGAAAACCCAAGTGGCTGGCCCTTGACAGGTCTTGTCTAGGGCTGGCTGGTAGTGTGTGGATTCTGGACTTCATGCAGGAAAAGTTTCACATGAGTCCAGGTGAATTTTAGAAGACGTTTATTAAGGCTGGGGACAGTGAAACAAGGAAGGGCTGGGAAATGAGCCCAGGCTGCTCTGCTTTGGCTCACTGAGAAGTCAGACAGAGAAAAGGGGGCCTGGACAGGTTCAGGGGGTTTGCCCGGATGACCTTCTGCTATCCATTGCTGCCCTGGTTTGCAAGCCTCCTGGAGTGCCTTAGAGATTAGGAGATGCATGCCTGTGGGGGAAGAAGAGGAGGAGGAGCGGAAGAGGAGGGGAAAGCTACGGCATGCTCTGTGGGAAGGAGAGAGCTCTAGGACCTTTGTTTTGAGGGGTTTTAAAGTCTGGGTGTTTAGGGGAGGTCTTAGGGGAGGATCTCAATAGAATATTCATCAGGTTTATGCTGATGTAGCAAAATGAGATTTATTCTCTTAACTTTATCTGTCCTTGGGTGTAGCTGGAAAATGGCACTTGTTGGATTTCTGCTGTCTCCCCGAGTAGGTGATTTAAGTTATTTGCCCTCTGGTTGTGGGGAGAAGTGCGCACCATTTATTCTTAAGTGTCCTTGGTTTAGGGAAGATAGCATTTACAGATGGCTGCAAATTGCTGTTTAACTGTCTCAGTTTTCCTATTCCACTCGCCCTGGCTGACTAGCCAGTCTCAGTTGTGCTTAGCAGTGGGCAGCTTTGCACACAAATGGCTGAAGCAGCACTCATGGTTCCAGGGTCTCCCAAGCCCTTGAAAGTCTGCCACTTCTCCCCTTGTTTGTTTTTATCTGGGATTTCTTCCAACCTCCAGCCTCAGAATAGGCGATGAGAGTGCGAGTGCGAGTGTGAGGCTGCACAGAGGGACTGGGAGTCTCAGGTGAGTTGCCCCCTGCTCCATCTTCGGCCCAGCTTGTCAGCCTTGGAATGGCTGTGTTTCATTCACGTGAGGCCCAAGCAGAGATATAGCCAAGTTATCTATTATTCCGTCGGGTGTTCAACCACTGAATGAGGTTTGGGGTAAGAGAAAGGGATTTTATTTATGACTGTGAGGCTGCCCACAAAAATTGCCCAAACTCTCACACATTTGTCAGCCTCTTCAGTCATTGATCCGAAATGTCTTTTGATTTTGCTTTTGTCCCTCTTAGTCCTCTGAGTGATGACTTTGGGAGCCACTAGTTAATACATGCTCTGAGAAGACCCCACCCGTCTCTACAGCCCTGTGACTGAAAGGGATCATCATGACGCCTTAGGGCGGTAACGGGCTCTAAGGACTGCATTTTCCAACCTGCTTATTTCACAGATGGGGCAGGCAGCTCAGAGTGGGCAGTGATCTGGTGAAGGTAGCAGAGCAAGTAGTGGCCACGCTGGCAGCAGTCAGCACTAGGCCCCGTCGGCCTCCTTGACTCCTTTGTGGTGCTCTTCTTGCTGCCCACCGGCGGGCTCCCTTCGCCACTAGGGATGCAGAATCACTTTCAGCAGTATGTGAGGGTCACTGTTCCTTGTGGTTTTCTCTCAGCCTGTTTCTGACATTAGTAAATGCTACTCTTGCCCTGAGCACATTAAGTCCTCAGTAAGTATTTGTCAGTCAAATGAATGCTAGGCTTTCCAGCATGCTCCTGTTTCAAATATACCAGAGAGGTTTCCTCCAGGTGCCACCTGCCTCCTGTGCCTGCAGAGCTCTTCCTCCCACTCTCTTCTCTGCCTGAAAAACTCCTCCTCCTCTTCCTTCATCACCACCATCATTGGATTAAATAGCTCTTCCTTTGCAAACATCTTCCCTAATATCACCCTGTCCTTACCAGGAAGAAATCATCTTTTTCCTACCTTTCTCCCATTCTCCTGATTTCAGTATTTACTGGGTTGTGCTGTAATTGTGATGGTATTTTCCCCCCAGACGCCAAACTGCATGGGAGAGCAACCACCTCTGTGCCCAGTGCATGTAAGGGTTTTGCACAAACAGTGAGTGTAATGGGTGGATGAATCACCACCCTGGAAAGGCCTGGTTCCCAAGAACATCTTTGATGTTAGCCCATGGACCTCAAGTCCAGTACCCTGGCTGCAGACTCAGGCCCCGGCCCAGGTCAGTGCATGAGCAGGAAGCAACTGATCCATGTGCTTCTCTCACATCCATGTTTCTCTCTCCCCCCTTCCACTCTCTCTGAAAAAGCAATGGAAAAAATATCCTAGGGTGAGGATATATATTTACTTTTTATTTACCCTCACCCTAGAATATTTTATCCTAACCCTAGGATATATATATATATATATATATATATATATATATA